TGCTAGATGATGATGTTCAAATTTTAGAAACTCCTCCACCAATGGGAAATCCACTGGATGACATTACGACACCAAGGAAAAAAAAGAAGAGGGAGTTAACATCTGATGTGTGGAACCACCTTGTAAAGATTGGTATCAGTACTGATGGAAAAGAAAAGTGTAAGTGTAAAGGTTGTGGTTCTATTTTGGGTTGTAAATCTACCGGTGGAACAACCCATTTAATTCGTCATGTTGATTCTTGTAAATTTCTTGTTGAGAAACATGGTGATGTAGGTGATATGCTTCTTGATATGGAGGGAAGATTGAAAAGAAAAAAGTTTGATCAGAAGGTTAATCGAGAAATTATAGCTGAAATGATAATTACACATGGTGCACCATTTAATATGGTTGAGTGGGAGGTCTTTAGAAAATATCAAAAGTTCCTGAATGAGCAGTGTAAGTGGATTTCTAGAAATACTACTAAAGCTGATGTAATGGAAATATATAAGGTTGAGAAAGAAAGGTTAAAGTCACAATTGGCCCAAATTTCAGGAAGAATTTGTCTCACCTCTGATTGTTGGACTTCATGCACAAATCATGGCTACATTTCTTTAACTGCTCATTTTGTTGATGTGAATTGGAAGTTGAATAGTAAAATTCTTGCATTTTCTCATTTGAAACCTCCACATTCAGGACCCCAATTAGCATTGAAAGTGATGGAACTCTTGCGAGAATGGGGCATAGAAAGAAAAGTTTTTTCTCTCACTTTAGATAATGCCTCAGCAAATGATAACATGCAAAGCTATTTGAAAGAGCACCTAGGATTGTCAAGTAGCTTGTTGCTTAATGGAGAGTTCTTTCATATTAGATGTTGTGCACACGTTTTGAACCTGATTGTTCAAGATGGATTGAAGGTAGCAAGTGATACATTGCATAAAATTAGACAAAGTGTGTATTATGTGAAAGCACCGGAAAGTAGAACAATTCAATTTTTTAATTGTGTTAACAATGTTGATGGAATTAATACATCAATTGGATTGAGAACGGATACCCCTACTAGATGGAACTCCACTTACATCATGCTTGAGAGTGCTATAAATTATGAGCGTGCATTTTATAGCTTAAGTTTATGCGATCCAAATTACAAGTTGTGTCCGAGTCCTCTTGAATGGAGAAGAGCGAAAGTAATGTGTGAATTTTTGAAGCCGTTTTACAATATTACAAATTTGATATCTGGATCTTCCTACCCAACATTAAATTTGTATATAAGAGAAATATGGAAGATAGAATGTCTTTTGAATTCAAATTTGATAAGTGAAGATTTTGTTATCAACAGTATGACTATAAAAATGAGAGAGAAATTTGATAAGTATTGGAGTGACTATAGTACAGTATTATCATTTGGGGCTATACTAGATCCAACCAAGAAGCTCAATTTTTTGACATTTGCATATAAAAAAATTGATCCATTAGCAGCAGAAAAGAAGTTGGATAATGTCAAGAATAAGTTGTCTATGTTGTATGAAGAGTATGTTAGAAATGGAAGTTATTCTTCTAATGCAAGGCATTCACAACAAGCACATTCTTCGCATGGAGGAAGAAACTCAAACATGCCTCAGTCATTATATGTGTGTGAAGTAAGTTTATTTTATCAAACTTTCATAGTTTCGTTACCATACTTTCAGTTTATATAATTTTTAATTTATTTATTTTCATTTGGTAGGAATTTGAAGAGTATGAAAGTCAAACAATTAGTGCCGCGGGAACATCTGATCTTGATGATTATTTAGTCGAGCAAAGGCTTCCGCCAATATGTGGTTTTGATATATTGGCTTTTTGGAAGGAGAGAAGTCAAAGATGTCCCGATCTTGCAAAGATGGCTTGTGATATACTAAGCATTCCAATAACCACTGGCATAAGAATCTGCCTTTAGCATTGGTGCTAGAGTTTTGAACAAGTATAGAAGCTCTTTGAAAGATGACACAGTTCAAGCTCTCATGTGTGCACGTAGTTGGCTGCATGGTTTTGTAGGTATGAAATTTATATGAAATTTAGAATAACGACTCAGCGATTATAGAATGAGACACTAGCTAAGTTATATGATATATTTTCTTTGTAGAATATGATAGTGACAATGATGGAGATGAAGATGAGAAAGAAGTCATTAGTTCAGAAAATTTTGAAATTTCAAAAGGATCAAATCAATGATAGTGAACAAAGGTATGCTTATCAAACTCAAAATTTGTAGTTTATGTCTTGAATTTCAGTTTTTATAATGATGTTTTTTATGTCTTTCTTTGTAGTTAACTAGTAGTTTTCTTTATTTTAATATATGCTAACAACTAACTGTGATGCTAACAAAACAAATGTGAGTAATTGTGTATGCAACCCATTTCACAAGGTTGTGTTTCAGAACTATTAACGTAATGGACTAGTGGACTACATGGTTACTGTTATTACATATACAAAATTGTTTTAATATAATATAGTGGACTACTGTAATGACATGCAAAATTGTCTTGATATTTCTATTAGGAATGGAAGTTGGTGTTTGAATGAAAGTTGGAACAATATATAAACATAAGCATGTGGTGTTGAATTAAACACTATTAATATCTCTCGTAAAACTGTTAATATTTTTGTTGCTTAAATACTTTACTAATCTAATGTCTTTTCATGTAGGTGACATTGGTGTTTAAATGGAAGATATAATTTCAAACTAATGCAGCTGAAAATGATGGACCCTTTTTGAAGCTTTTCCATATTTTGAATATGATGGAACTCTTTTGAAACTTGCAAATTTAATTTTGTTTTGAAATGTATTAATTATTACTATGTTACTATGGATCTAAATACTTATTTAATTTTTTATTTATGTTAGATTTGCCTGAAGTGTAAATGGTTAGACACCCTTAGACTTAGTTGGTGTCTTTGAAATTTGTAGTTTATTCTGTTCAAATTTGTGTTAATGGTATCATATTATTTTTTTAAAATCAAACAAAACGCTTTTTATTTTAAAAATAAAATTTTATATATAAATCGGGCTAGCCCGAAAAACCGAAGCCCGTGAAGGGCCGGGCTTGGTCAATCAAATTGTAACCCGTTTATAAAACGGGTTTTTTAGCCCGGCCCGTACAAAGCCCGAGCCCATCATGGGCCAGCCCGTCACGGACCGGATAACCCGTTTTGACACCTCTACCTTTTTGTTTGATTTTATTTATAAACAAAAAAAATTACTTTTATTTATTTCAAAAATGCTTTTAATTTAAAAAAGATAAAACTGAAATGTGTACTTGAGAGAAATTGAAAAGTTATCAATGTCTTACTAATGCCTTTTAAAACTAATGTCGTTTAAAGTTATTGCATACTAATTAAAGAATGTAATGCTGTCATAAAATATTTTACTTTTATCAAATTAATTATATTAATATGTTAGAAGAAATGTAAAAAATAATGATAAAATGATACAATTGAAAAAATAACAATTATTTATATATTGAAAAATAAAAATAATATTTATTTTAAAATAAATTTTATTTTTTATTTTATTTATTAAAACGATAATATTTTAAAAATGAATTTCCAACACATGAATTGCGTAAGAAACAAAATTATGAGAATCTAAAAAAAAAAGTAGAATATTAGAGAGAAAATGAAACAAACCAAGAGACACTAAAAAATAACCCAAATGTTATTTCTTTTACTTTTTTTTTAAGCTTGTGTGTAATTTTTAACGAGATTACACACGGATCTGTAAAAAATCTAATTTTTTTATTGTATTGATTTATTTTTTTTGTGATTGTTTACAATTGGTTCAAACGGTAAAAGGACAGTGAGAGTGACTTACAAGTATCTAATTGAAATAATTAAGGTATTTAATTGTATATTTTTTTCTTATGTTTCTTAATTTTAATTCTCTACTTTTTATTATGAAATTGATTTTATTATATTGGATTTTTTATTTCATGGCAGTAATGAATTTCTGGCAGGCAAATGTTTAAATAATGAGAGTGAACGTGAGACAAAAGTCATTTTATTAAAAGAATGTTAGAAGGCTTGAACAATATATAACTGTTAATAGTTAGGGTTTGATGCTTTAGTTTTTATAGGACCTGTATGCATTACATGATTTTGTCGTGTATTTTTTTCTTTTAAAGATTTTTTTTCATTCATAGAAACTAATAAGAAAAGAATTACTTCTACTAAATAGAATATTGATACAAAATTTTTTATTTCATGCTAATTTGCATTAATGCATGTTTATGCAAATTTATACGGGGAAGGGATACTCATGATAGAGACATCTAAAAAGGGTACAATAATTTTACGAGAAATTATATTTGATATATTTATTAAATTTTAAATAAATCTTTAATTATATTTATATATCTGTCTCTTTCTATCTATCTCTATCTTTCTCATATTTCTGACTGACATTCAAACAATAAAATTTTATTTTTATAAATAAAATTATTTTTAATATGTCAGATAATAAAATCTTTTAAAAGATATATACGCTTTTTTTTCATTCTTTTTTCTTTAATACATCTAATTTATAATATAAATTAAATATATTAATTATCTAATAAATTTAAAAAGATAAAATATCTTTTATAAAAAGTATTTGAGAGAGTAGATTATAGAGATCGAAGTTGGATTAAAGTTTAAAAACTACCGGTAATTACATTACCCAAGAAAACAATTGGCTGATTATGGTTTATCTATCTGTTAGGATAACTAACGGCGTACGTCAACAAATAAACGTAACGCTAACTTTGACCGTTAGTTTCTCAAATCGTACGTGTTAGGTACGAAGAAAACCAAACGGAGAATTTCACAGCATCTTTCCATTTCACTATTTCAAAATAGAAGTGTCTCTACCTTTCCACTATTCCTATTTTTGTGTATAAATATATATCCATTTCACAAACCACTCACCAACAACTACAAATCACGTTTCATTTCAGCTACCACTCTTTTTTACTCTCTCTCTCTTTCTCTCTATCTGTTTGTTTCATTGTATGGCAGCCAATTCGAGTAGCCGATCGATTTCTGGCTTCGGGAAGCGAGTTTTCAACCAGATCTGGAACTCCAACTCTGTAGCTTCTCCTCTTACAATCGCATCTAGGTATAATTTTCATTCCCTAATTCATCATCATCATCATCGTTTCTTTTTTGTTCTATAGTAATTTACTCTGTTTTTGTTAATTTATTTGCTTGATTTCTCATATTTCTGTGTTTAGTTGATTTAATTTCTGTTTTAAGTTGATTTATGGTATTAACAAGTAGTAGTTTAAATTAAACTCTAAGTACTTTTTGCTAATTAATGAATGTGTTATTTCAATCTATGAACAAATTTTGTGATCTATTCGGTTTGTAAATTGTAACTACTCGAGATTTTTCATATTTGGAGTAGTTAGTTTGTTTATTCGTATGGTTGATTATTTATTGCGATTTGCGAGTTGGTTATGATTTTACGAGATCATTATCGATTTTCTAATATTTCCATTTTTATTTATTTCTACGGGGAAATTTCTCCGAGCAGTGAAATCGAGTTGTGGATTATAGATTTTCTAGAAATATTCTTTTGATTTTGGTGGAAAAATTAGGCTTACGTTGAACGTTGAAAACAAGATTCCGTTAATTTGTTATTCGTTTCACTGGATTTCCTCTGCGGAACTTTCCTTCTTCTTTATTCCTCTCTTTTTCTTTGAGCGGTTCTGTTGCTGCAATCTTTTTATCCTAAGCTTTATCTGATTCCTCTCTAACTTTTCTGTGCTGACATCATGAACTAGTGTAGTAGCATTGCCTTTTCTGATTTTGGATCCATTTTACTTTTAATGAATAATTAATTAATGCTAATTTCCTTCAATCTTGGAGTTTCCTGCATAGGAATTTACTTCTTACTCCAGTGCCGTCTGTGTATATTATGAAAACTTGTCCAGTAACTAGTTGTCATCATTTGAATTAAGCAAAATGTAAAATGAAATACTAATGAGTAAAAATAAAAAGGAGTATGTTCATTGGTTGCTTCTTATTATTTCTTCTGTCTCATAAATAAGTGTCTCATTTTTTACTTTTTCTATATCTCAAACTAATTATTTCTTTAAAATACTAATATAATATTTTATTATTATTTTTTATTATTATATTTCTATTTATTAGTTTTTATGCTTTTTAACAACTCTATCAATTATAATATTACTTTAGTAAATAATATAAATTTTATTATTAAAATTAATTTATCTAATATTTTTTTAAGAACCACACAAAATTTAAATGAGACAGTTATTATGATCGAGTATATTTTAGTACGATAAATAAACGCCAAAGTTTGATATGACAAGGGCAAATATCATCCCTACAACCTTCCTTTGTCGGAGAGTAAAATTAACCTATCTAATCATTTTTTTTTAGAATCACACAAAATTTAAATGAGACGTTTATTATGACAAAATATATTTTAGTACGATAAATAAACGCCAAAGTTTGATATGACAAGGGCAAATATCATCCCTACAACCTTCCTTTGTCGGAGAGGAAACAGAGCGATTGGGGTAACTTTTTTCCTACTCATCCATCCACCTCCTCAACGCACCATGTCACTTTCAATATATATGTCCCCAGATTTGTACCCTCTCAACTTGTTGTATTGTTTGTACTCTAGGCTATTATGCTTTTCTTATTACTTTTCCAAATCTGAATTAAATATCATAAAAAAAATTTATTAGTTAAAGTTAAATTCAACTTTTTCTGATAGATCAGAAGATAGCTTCAATTTGTGGTTGATGGTTTTGTCAAAAAAATATGTTGGTTTACCATTAAGAATTTCTTTAAAAAAATATTTACAGGCATTATTTTACTTGTAGTCGGTTTAGTTAACAACGTTAAACGTCAATTTTTGGATTTTCTTAGTCAACAAAAATCTTTCGGTTAACCAATAAGAAATAGCAGCTCTTTTCTAATTTGGCTTGTACCGTGTACAAAGTTTTGTCAACGTGTAAATTAGGATAAGATCTATGCATGTGGGTCCAAGCTATTTCCTTTGTTGCTATCTTATTTATGCATATTTTTTAACTTATAAACATTTATGTTTATGAATTGTAAGCATATACTTGAGTGGCCTATATGTGTTTTAAAATTGATACTTATTCTGGTATATATGTAATTTGATTTCTTTTTCAACCTTTCTAGAAGCCTATAAAACACGTATTGCGTGATCAATTAATTTTTGAATGCCTAACTTTAATAGAGGCATTATGTTCGTCAATAGTGCTGTGGAATAAGTGAATTATTACTCTATAGTATTAAAATTAAAATTAAATATGTACATGGATCGAATAATGGTACGAGTTAGTACCTTTTGTTTGTTTGCGCATATACAGTGCGTGTCTTTGCATAAACTTATGTTAGTACTATTAAATTCTATATTTATTAACCTGTCCAAGTTCTAAACTCTTAGTTGAAAAATCATATACTTAAATATGTTATGGCTATAAACTATTTTAAATTTATTTTTCTAGTTTCAATGAGAATGAATGGAGGCGGTGAGGATAAGGTGGTGACGGTGGGGTTGTCCGGTAGGGATAGGGTGGTCATTGGTCAATGTGCTATGGCTTAGTAGTCTAAATCTCTCGTTCTTTATTTTCTAAGAAGTTGTGCACATATAGATAAGGTGTTGTTTAAGACACGTGTCTATCTTATCTTTTCATAGATAGTACATGTGTGCATAATGTCAATTTATTATGGCATGGAAGCTAAATTTGTCGTATCTTTATCTTGTTAAGATTTTTTTTTTAAATAAATTGGTACTATAATATATAAAAGTATATTTTTATAATAAAAAATTCAGCTAAACTAGAAATATTTAGATTTATTTTTTAAAAAATTGACTGACTTAAAGTTTGATGTTTAAATAGTAATTATATGAAATATACTACGAGTACTTTATATTTTTGATTTCTAACCGATTGGTCCCGTAAGATGAGGGCGTGGAAAATGCGGGCATAGTAATACATAAATTTCAAAAAGTAGGTGGTTCGTTTGGTAGTTCAAACCGCATTAAGTTCGAATATTCCCATCACGTGATCACTAATCTTTGCTTTGACAACTATACATCCATGTGGATGGCTCATTCATATCCAGCCGCTATTGTTTATGATTTGATCTCTTGGTCACCCGTGAAAGGAGAGTATTTTAAAAACACTGTCAAAGATGAATAGTTTTTTTACAGAACTTTAAAAAATGTTTCAATGATCTCTAGTTTATGGCAATTAAAATCTAATTAGTTATGTTCCTTTTATTTGACTGGAATACAGGAGGGCAGCATACAGCTCATTGTACGACAAGAACGCTGATGATCATAACCACTCCGGGCCAGTCCCTGATGATGTGATCCAGGCAACTGAATCCACCAAATACTGGGCCCCACACCCACAGACTGGGGTATTTGGGCCCCCAGGCGAGCAAGCCACTGCTGGCTTCCATTCAGCCTCCACCGCGGATGCAACTGCTGCTGTTGCTGCAGGCTCAGTGCTTGAGGAAAAGGCTTGGTTTCGCCCCATCAGCATTGAGGACTTGGAAAAGCCCCACTCTCATCCTTAATAGTTTATAAATCTTTCCTTTAGAAGATAATATCTATACATATGTGTGTGTCTATACACTAATAAATAAAGGCAGTACTTGTGACCTGCCAAGTTGAAGGGGCGTGTGGTTATTCTAGCTTGTGTGTATATTGTGCTGAACTTCAAAGTGTGCACAGTCTGCACTGCAGGTTGATGCTCGTTGAAGAGTTTGGACTTGAGAGAACTTTTATTATACATAGCTAGACATGAACTACGTTCATATGCATGTAAGCTTGTTTTTGCTTTTGCTTTTATGCAGATTTAATATTAATATTAGACCTATGGTAATAATGATTGTGCTTATGGTGTAGTAACACTACTTCAGAGAGAATCACATCACAACACTATTGGTCATTGGGTTGATCTTCTACCCTTAACCTAATCTGTCGCTAAAGTATTCAAACTCACGAACTTCCTATACCCAAAACTAAAATCGACAAGTGCTAGAGGTTACTCAATGTATGCTGCAATTATATATTTTTAATCTACTATTAATATAACACATGTGTATTTGTTTATTAAAAAATATGGTAGTAAATGCATTTTATAATGGATATTTACTAGTATATAAAAATGTTTAAACTGGAACAATTCATTATGACAGAACTCTTTTTTAGAGAATTTTTTTGTTAATTTTCTTTTCAAAAAGTTACTTTCCAGAATTGGGCTAAGACATGTGAAACTTGTATTTTTGAAGACTAAGAATGTACTGTATGTAATTAGGTGATTTAACTATAATTGAATAGTGTTACATTTTTACATATTTTGTCAAATCTCTTGATTTTTTAATGTTATAGACTTGTATTTCATGTCAACAAAATAAATGTTGTATTTTAGTCTCTGATTTAAACCAAAAACCATTGGTTAAGTAACATCTCACGTGTTTTGGGTTCTATGAATAAAATGGTTGAGACTAAATTATTTTATTAAATTTACTATCTGTTGCTTGTTTAATATTTATTTCGTATGATACGGAAAAAATAAGGTAAAATTTAATTCAAAATAAACTGTTTAAGTTAGATTTGAACAAAATAAAAATAAAATCAAATAATTGTAGCATTGGATCCATTCCTATAATAAATTTCTGGAAATTTTGGTTGGGGACAAATCCATATGGAAACTTTCTACTTGAAACCCAATTGACAAATACGAGGAGGTTGTTTAGTTGGAAAGGAAGGGTTATAATTGATTTGATTCATTCTTTCTTTTTTTCAGTTTACCTTAATACTTCTCCTTTTTCATAATACCAAAAAGTTGGCTGAATAACTAAAGGGCCCTTTTGTTTTGATTTTTTTTAAATGATTTTTATAGTATACATATTTTTGTTTGTTTTGATTTTTTTTTAAATGATTTTTATAGTATACATATTTTTGTGTAAAAAAAATTTAGAAAGAAATTTTTCATAAAAACCTCAATTGAAAATTTGATTTGAAATTAAAATGTTATTTTAGATATTTCTGTTGGAGCACAATGAAGATAAAAGACAAAAAGAATATTTATTAATAGCTTCAAAATAAAGATTTACAAATGAATTACAATAACCTACTCCACTAAGCTATTTATACACACAAATTAAATCTAAAATATATCTTCTACAAAGATATAAGAAGATCTAAGATATATATCTTCTAACAAAGATATAAACAATCTAAAAGATATTCCTAAATATAAACTAATATCTAATTAAATCTAAATTAATTCTAACATCATCCCTTAATTTATATTTATCCAAAACTGACAACATCAATTCCATCTCTTAAACCAAGAAATTGATCAGTTTTGATAGTCTTTGTCAGAACATCTGGCAGCTGCTTCTGAGTGCTACAGTGCACAACCTCTATTATTCTATTCTGAACTTAATTCCTCAGAAAATGATACTTGGTCTCAATATGCTTGCTTCTCCCATGCAACACTGGATTCTTGGCAAGATTGATTGCAGACTTGTTATCAGTCATCAACTTCAGAGGTTTATTCACCTCAATCTTCAGATCTTTCAGCAATTTCAGAATCCACAGAGCTTGACATGCAGTCAGAGCACCTGCAATATATTCAGCTTCACAGGTTGACAGAGTAACAACAGGTTGCTTCTTGGAACACTAAGAAATATGACCTCCCAGAAATTTGAATAAGTACCCAGAAGTACTTCTTCTGTCAACTTTATCTCCGCACCAATCAGAATCAGAATAACTCAGAAGTTCTGATCCGATCTTTCTTTCAGACGGAAATAACACTCCATATTTCAGAGTTCCCTTCACATACCTCAAAATCCTGACTGCAGCTTGGTAATGGGACCACTTTGGTTTGCTCATAAATCTACTAACCATTCCAATTGCATAGCAAATATCAGATCTGGTATTACACAAATACCTTAGAGAACCAACCATCTGTTTGAAGGTTGTAGCATTCACATCCTCTCCATCAGAATCAGAATCCAACTTCTGATTCGTATCAGCAGGTGTGACAGCAACCTTGCAATTTTCTAGCTCAAATCTCTTCAGAAGCTCTAGTTCATACTTCATCTGATGTAAAATGATTCCTTTCTCAGAGTGTATAAATTCCATCCCTAGAAAGAAACTCATTTTTCCAAGATCTGTCATCTCAAACGCATTCATCAGAACTTTCTTGAACTCGACTATCTCTTGTTCAGAACTTCCTGTGAGTAATATGTCATCAACATACAAATAGACCATAATCATATTACCTTATGAAGTGTGCTGAACATAAACACCATACTCCATCTCACACTTCTGAAACCCTTGTTCCTTGAAAAACGAATCAATTTTCAAGTTCCAAGCTCTGGGCGCTTGCTTCAATCCATACAATGCTTTGTGTAACTTGAACACCATCCCTTTCTGATTCTTTTTCTCAAATCCAGGAGGTTGTGAAACGTACACCTCTTCTTGTAATGGACCATTCAGAAATGCATATTTTACGTCTAAATGCATCAGAGACCAATTCCTGTTAGCAGCTATTGCAATCACTAGTCTGATTGTTTCATGTCTCGCTACAAGTGCAAACACTTCAAAGTAATCCAGCCGAGGCTTCTGTAGGAAGCCTCTTGCTACTAATTTCACTTTGTGTTTGCCAATTGATCCATCTGACTTTAGCTTCTGCTTGAAAACTCATCTGACGCTGATGGCTTTCTTTCCTTTTGGAAGTTCTATCAGCTTCTAAATCTTGTTTCTCTCTATAGCATCAAGTTCTTATTTCATGACTTGTAACCAAACTTGGTGCTTAAGATCCTCTTTCGTACTCACGGGTTCAGAGTCTACTAACATTGCACACTGAATAACTTCTCCTTCATAGTTTACTTCAATGTCTAGCAACATGTCAAACTCTGCAAATCTTCTTGGGATGCTTCTGACTCTTTGTTGCCTTTGAACTGGAGCTTCAGAACTTTGGACACCAGAACTTTTCCCTTCAGAAGCACTTGCTTCAGCAATTGGACTTTCTCCAGAACTTTCCTCTTCAGAAGCACTTGCTTCAGAAATTGGACTTTCTCCAGAACCTTGACTGTCTTCAAAGTCTTGAAAATTCCCATCATCATCAGAGTCAAAGCCACTACCTTCAGAAATAACATCTTCAAAAGTCGGATCACCTCTGCCTTCAGAAGTTTCACTTTCAGAATCATGATCATCGTCAAAGACTGAATTTCCTTCAGAAGCTCCTCCTTCAGAAGTTCCAACCTTAGAGTCATGATTTCCACCAGAAACGTGATCATCTTTAGAAGCTTGTCCTCTAGAACCTACGTCTTTAGAGTTTTCCCTTCCATAAGCATGATCACCACCAAATTTTGGATCATCATCAAAATCTGGATGAGAATCAGATTCACCATCTGACTCACCTTCAGATTTTCCAGAGTCATCATCTTCTGACTCTTCCTCAGAAGCAGAATCTTCTTCAGACTCAGAATCACCTTCGGATTCTGACTTGTCTTCAGCTTCAGAGTCATCTTCTAACTCTAACTCGTCTTAACCTCAGATTTTGACTCATCTTCAAAATCTTCAGCGTCATCTTCTGATTCTGACTCAGAGTCATATTCTGATTCTGACTCATACAAAATCCTCCTTCAAAATCAAAATATTCAGAGTCATATTCTTCTTCCCCTTCAGAATCAGAAAATGACAATTTCACTAGTTCTTCATCAGATTCATAAGGCATAAATAACACAGGTTCATCATCTGAATCTCCTCTGACTATATTTGCTTCTTCTGACTTCCTTTCTTTGTTGGACCAACAGTCTCTGACATAGTGACCAAAGTTCTTACAACAGTAACACTGAACATTCTTCTTGTCAGACTTCTCCTTTCCCTTATGGATATTCTTCTGCCTATCAGAGTTTGAAGTTTCTGACTTTTGACCACCATTAGTTCTCTTCCTGGCTTCTGACCAGATCTACTTCTGATGATTCTTACCAGAAGTTACTTTCAGAGCCTGTTGCTCTACTTCCCTCTCAAAAGTTCTTGCAGTCATACGCAACTCATGCGCCTCAAGACTATTGTGCAACTCTTCAACTCTCATGGTGCTCAGATCTTTGGAATGCTCAATTGTTACAACAATGTAATCAAACTGAGAAGTTAAAGATCTCAAGATCTTCTCAATAATTACTTGTTCAGACAGAGTTTCTCCACAAGCTTTCATCTCATTAGTAATCAGAATCACTCTAGAGATGTATTCAGAAACCTTCTCGTTGTCCTTCATGTTGAGATTCTCATATTGCTTTCTGAGAGACTGAAGCTTCACCTTCTTCACTGATGCGTCACCACCGTAACATCTGACCAGTGTGTCCCACGCAGCCTTTGCTGTTTCAGAATCAGCAATCTTCTCAAACACATTCACATCCACACATTGATGGATGTAGAACAACACTTTCTAATCTTTCTTCCTCAGCGCTTTCTGTGCTATCTTCTGGGCCTCTGTTGCGTCTGCTTCTAACAGATTATAGCCATCAGTGACAAAATCTAACACATCTTGAGAACCAAATAACACGCGTATCTGGATCTTCCAACGATTCCAGTTTTTGCCATCAAATACCGGAAGCTTGGAATGAATATCGTCATTTCCGTTCATCTTCTACCTTGTGCAATTTACGCAGAAACTCAATGAAAAATCAATGTTTCCCAAATTCCAGAGTTTCTAACCAGGAACTCTAGATACCAATTGTTGGGGCACAATGAAGATAAAAGGCAAAAGGAATATTTACTGATAGCTTCAAAATAAAGATTTACAAATGAATTACAATAATCTACTCCACTAGGCTATTTATACACACAAATTAAATCTAAAATATATCTTCTACAAAGATATAAGAAGATCTAAGATATATATCTTCTAACAAAGATATAAACAATCTAAAAGATATTCCTAAATATAAACTAATATCTAATTAAATCTAAATTAATTTTAACAATTTCATCTTCATATTCAACCTTTTTTTGATTTCAAGCTATTTCAAATAGATTTCCATAAAAATTATTCTTAAAATATAATCTTTTGAAAAAATTGCGATTTTCACTGTATTAGTCTTTGATAATATATGTCTATGTTATAGTATGTCAGAATTAGTGTTTCAATTTAAAAAAAAAAACGAATTTTTTAAAGCTGAAACAAGCGGTCACAATATCTACTTGGAAACTTTCTCTAGCGTAGCCCCTTACATAGGTGAGGCATGTCTCTTGAGCTTCTTGAAGGTGCAAATGGAGCCCGTTGAAACCTGTCAGAGCTACTTGAGCTACCGGCATTTGAGGGAGGTGATGACGAAGGTGTGGTAGCAACTAAATGGTCTAACAGTGTTGTTTATTGGTAGGTGACGACAAACGTGATTGAATGAGTTGATTATAACAAGGGATAATTTAAATCGACCAACATTAACAATGCCATATACCTTCTTGTGTTTTAGTAGGTTTTAATTTCAATCCTACAAAATCAGTTAATGACTTTGGCCTCAGCAAATTAACGGGAGAAGCCATTGATCTAGTTATACAAACTGATTAACTATAACGCAAATGGAAATGACACTTTTAATACAGTCTAGTAAATAAGCATGAGCTGAACACTAACTGTGAAAAGAATCTATGGTCACAACATAACAACATTCAGATGACCTATACTTTTTGATGATCTGAAAATACATGTATCTCCTAGTTTAGTGCTTGCTCTTCTTTTTGTCATCATCATCTATGTTGTCTCTTGATTGTTCTTTGGCAGATGGTGGGTTTTTCTTTTCATTCTTGCTTCCCTAAATCATAATTTGCAACAATTGAGAATTGAGATCCATGTTGTCTCTATGTTGTCTCTTGATTGTTTATTTGCTTTCTAGTGTTGCATGAAATTAAGGTTTGATTGTTTGTGGTGATTTCATGTTTGAGTTTAGTTATGTGTTACACTTTCTATGTTAAACATTCTTTCTAGCTATTAATTCTGGGAAATCTATAATTATTCATTGTTTTATAATTAATCAAATTCTATTCAAATGGCTTGTTTGGATCTAAGTTATATTAATTACCATATTTTTATTTAATGGTTTTATTATAACTTCTATCACTATTGAATCATTTTTATATTTAGTCAATTACGTGGTTCCTTTTATAAAACATTTTTAGATTTTTGTTCCCATGCACTTTAAACTTAGACTTTGAAAAAAATTTGTAAACGATTTTATTGGAGAAAAGTCTATTCAATCCCATTTTAGATAATTCTACACACATTCAATCCAACCTATTTTAATGAGATTATGGGGCTAGAAAAGAAAAAAAAGGGGGAGTTTGAGTCAATCTTTCTAGATGTATAGAGTTTGTCAATTGGATTAATGTTTGTTAGATGATGGAGGTGACCAATGTGGATTCTAAGAGTATAATTATCTGTTGTTTTTTAAATTTTTACACAGTAATCAAAGCTATTAATGTCAGAATTGATGGATATTTAAAAAAAATGTGGATTGTTTAATTTGTGACGTTGATAAATTTGGAAACTGTTGACACTTGCCATCTAGACTAGTAATATTAATAAAAAAATACTATAACATTTAATATTTACCTATATTATTAATTATAACCTATACTAAACCTATATAATTAATTATAACTATGTAAAAAAAATAAAGTAACGGTAATATATTTTTAAAATTAACAAAATAACGTTAACATTTTTTACTTTAACATTTTTGAATAATAACATTAATATTTTTGAATTCTATAAATAAGTTAGTAATTTTATTATAATTTTCATTTACAACTAGTCTATTTTTAAACTATTGATTTTATCTCATCTTAAATTTTTTTCTTCTACACATTATTTGTCAATAGATCCTAATCAAAATAGCTCTTGGTCTAATTTTATACAAAATGGTGGTAGTCCTCCTTCTATTCCAAATCAACAAAGCAACACATTCTTTAGAAATGTACCTTTTATCTCAAATCCACACCATAACCCAAACTTTCAAAACTCTCAACTTATCCCAAATCCACAAAATAATCCACACTTTGAAAATTACTCATACTATACACCACCTTATCCATATCAATATCAACAATTTACATCTCAATTAACTAACTCCACTATGCCTCATGGAACTCAAATATGTAGTAGTGGTGTGCAATCAAATGATCAAGAATGTGAAACACCACAATCTTGCACTCAAGGTAGCTTAGAAACTACTAAACTTAGTGAAGAAGTTGCACCTGCACCGAGTGTGAATACGCATAAACAAAGGTTCCAACAAAGAGAGGATGAAGTTCTCATTCAAACATGGCTCAACGTTTCAAAGGATTCAATTGTAGGGGTTGATAAAAAAGGATATAGTTTTTGGAAGAGGATCGATGAAGCTTACAACAAGCATCGTGACATTAATTACAAAGAAAGGAAACTGACGCAACTAAAAGGGCGATGGCACAAAATTAATCCATCTGTTCAAAAGTTTATTGGATGCTACAAACAAGTCATGTCTACACAACAAAGTGGAAGTTCCGAGAGCAATATCATGCAAGCTGCATATAAAATCTATTTCCAAGATGAAAGTGAAAAGTTTACATTTGAGGCTGCATGGAGATTATTGAAAGATGAACCTAAATGGCTCGCAGGTTCATTCGAAGCTTCTACAAAAAGAAGAAAAATTCGGCTTCAGGAGCATATTCTTCGCCTTTTAATCCATTAACACCAACAAGCAGTGAATACGATCCATCATCACCTACTTTGTCAGGTCGTCCAATCGGTCAAAAGGCAGCCAAAAGGAATGAGAAAGAAAAGCTTGTGGAAATGTCTTCTACACCCAATGTCAAATATGATTCTTTGAAAGATGACTTAAAAATGAAAATTGATCTGATGTCAATGTTTGCACAGGACTATGCACGCATTGAGGGTGAAAAACTTGAGATAGAGAGAAAAAAGGTTGATGCAAAGATTAAGAAGGCTGAGATTGTTGAGGAAAGATTAAGGATGAATGATTTACAAATACTCTCAAAAGATACATCAAATATGGATGCAAGACAACTACAAGTTCATGAAATATTGTGCGACATGATTAGAGAAAAATATGGAATTAATTAGTATGATTATGTATTTTGAATTAATTAGTATGATTATTATTTTGTGCTTAATTAGTATGATTATGTAGTTTGGATTATTATGATTATGTATTATGTGCTTAATTAGTATGATTATGTATTTTATTATTATTTTGTATGATTATGAATTTTATGCTTAATTATTCAAATTCAAACTAGCCGTTATTCAAATTCAAACTAGCCGTTACAAACTAATCTTATAAATAGTATTAACATACACACTAAGCTTCATAGTACTTATTTTCATTCACTAACTCTTTCATTTTCTATAACTTTTTATCATCTTCATCTATATCAAACTTATTTTCACATGGATCCTTCTAATCCTTCCCACATTGCAAAAATGTTCATGGATTTTATGAATGATGATACAGATGAAGAACTTGTGAGGCTGTTTATGGAAGAAGAAGCCTCAAGCTCTAAAAGGCCTAGATGTCAAAGAAGGAATATAGAGAGGAATCGTGAAGAGGGACATGATCGATTGTTCAATGATTATTTTTCAGAAACTCCTGTATACACAAATGAGCAGTTTCGTTGAAGGTACCGAATGCATAAACATGTGTTCCTTCGTATTGTTGAAGCTCTGGGACAACATGATGAGTATTTTCGAATGATGGTTGATGCAACTGGTAGGTCAAGTCTTTCTCCATTACAGAAATGCACGGCTGTTATCCGTATGTTGGCTTATGGAACATCTGCTGATAGTGTGGATGACTATTTGAGAATTGGTGAAACCACGACACTAAAATGTGTTGATAAGTTTACAAAAAGTTTACCGACTGTGAGACCCGATACTCACTGCTCGAGAAAACTTGTTGCACTTTGGTATGGGCTGCTCGCCGGCTAAGGCAGTATATGTTGACTCATACCACTTTGTTGATCTCTAAAATGGTTCCGATCAAGTACATCTTCGAGAAGCCTGCTTTATCTGGAAGAATAGCTAGATGGCAAATGATCCTCACCGAATATGATATACAGTACACAACCCAAAAATCTATAAAGGGGAGTGTGCTAGCCGATCATCTGGCCCATCAAGCTGTCGAAGATTACCAATCTATGATGTTCGACTTCCCTGACGAGGATATCATGACTTTGAGCAACATTGAAGAAAACAGACCGTATGACAGACCTGAACAAGGATCCCGATGGACCCTGTACTTTGATGGTGCTTCCAACGCACTTGGGAACGGTATCGGCGCAGTACTTATCTCTCCAGAAGGTTGCCATACACCTTTCACTGCTAGACTCTGCTTCAACTGTACCAACAACATGGCCGAGTATGAAGCTTGTATCTTTGGTCTCAAGGCTGCCATTGACTTGGGAATCAAATCTTTGATTGTATTTGGGGACTCAGCTTTGGTTATCAGTCAAATCAAAGGAGAGTGGGATACTAGAAACCCTAACCCCATCCCTTACAAAGAACATGTCCTGACATTGTTACCACGCTTTGAGCAGATCACCTTCGAGCACTTCCCGCGAGAAGAGAATCAGCTAGCGGATGCTCTAGCAACAATGTCCTCCATGTTTAAACTTAACTGGGATAATGAGGCTCCTCAAATCACCATTGAACGAATGGACAAACCTTCACATTATCACGAGATTAATACCGAAGAAGTAGTGGACCGACCCTAGTTTCATGACATCAAAAGGTATCTCGAAGCACAAGAATACCCTGAAGGAGCCTCAGTCAACGACAAAAAGTTCTTAAGGAGGTTCGTGGCCAAGTTCTTTCTGAGCAATGGTATCCTATACAAGCGCAATCTTGATTGTGTCCTACTCCGTTGTGTGGACAAGGTTGAAGCTGAGAAGATCATGGCTGAACTACATAATGGCACCTTCGGCACCCACTCAAGCGGTCATACGATGGCTAAAAAGATTCTACGGGCAGGCTATTACTGGTCTACCATGGAAGCTGATTGTCATCAACATTCCCGTACTTGTCACAAATGCCAAATCTACGCGAACAAGGTACATATACCTCAAGTTCCTCTCAATGTCTTAACAGCTCCTTGGCCATTCGCGATGTGGGGGATCGACATGATTGGAGAGATCAAGCCTACAACATCCAATGGACACCGTTTCATCCTGGTGGCCATTGATTACTTTACCAAGTGGGTCGAAGCAGCGTCCTTCGCATCCGTTACAAAGAAAGTTGTTGCCTGCTTCATCAAGCAGAACCTCATTTGCCAGTATGGTATCCCCAACATGATTATCACGGACAACGGTACAAACCTGAACAACACTATGATCACCGCTCTGTACGAGCAGTTCAAGATTCAACATCACAATTCATCTCCCTATCGGCCTAAGATGAATGGTGTTGTCGAAGCTGCGAACAAAAATATCAAGAAGATTATTCAAAAGATTACAGTCACCTACAAGGACTGGCATGAGATGTTACCGTTTTCTCTGCACGGGTACCGTACCACGGCACGTACTTCAACTGGGGCAACACCTTATTCTTTGGTATATGGCATGGAAGCTGTTTTACCTATCGAGGTTCAGATTCCCTCTTTGAGAATCATGAAGGATGATGGTTTGAGTGAAGACGATTGGATTCAGACCCGACTTGATCAACTTAACTTGATTGACTAAAAGCGACTTACTGTTGTTTGCCATGGTCAGGCGTATCAAAAACGTATGATCAAGGCCTTCAACAAGAAGGTCAGAAGACAAGTATATCAAGTCGGGGACCTTGTAATCAAGCAGATCATCTTGCCGCAAAGTGATCCCAGGGGCAAATGGACTCCTGCTTACGAAGGACTATTTGTGATCAAAAACATCTTTTCTGGTGGGGCAATGATCTTGACCACCATGGACGGTGATGACCTGCCGCACCCTGCGAACGCAGACATAGTCAAAAGATACTACGCATAAACAACCCGACAAGTCGAAAACCCGAAAGGGCGACTTGGGCAAAAATGGGCATCCCGGTGAATCGAAAACCCGAAAGGGAGGTTCAGGCAAAAGTTAGGGATAAATAAAAAAAATCTGTACACCCGACAAGTTGAAAACTAGAAAGGGCGACTTGGGCAAAAAAGGGTTTCCCGGTGGATCGAAAACCCGAGAGGGCGATCCAGGCAAAAGTTAGGGAATTAAAGCGTATGACTATGTCTCGTCGGATCACTTTAAGGACAATCTCTTCACAGACAAGCTCCAAGCTTCTGATCAATCCAATCATCTACGGACGAAGCAACGAATGGACAAGATACTCAGAGTTATGAAGGCTATAGAAGAATGGGAACCCCATGGAATTGTTACACATAACCATCTTTCTTTGTATAAATTTTTCTCAATTTTATGACAACATTCTCTTACTAGGATGTCTGTCTCCTTTGTACAAAATACTTACACAAAGTTAATACAAAGATACTTCAAAGTGTAAAAAACTATTTGCCGTTTATTTTTCTTTACACTTGTGTTTTATTTGAAAACGTACAATGATTTATTAAATGAGCATATGCATTTGAATATAATCATTGCTTACAAATAAAACGAAATAAGGAAAAAATAATTACTGACAGATTGAAAGTATGGGAAAACGACTTTAGGCTATTTCAGGAGAAATCCTCAACAGAGCTAAAGCCTTGAAATACATATCCCCGGCAGAGTTAAGTTTCAAAATCCCCATCATAACTAAGTTTCCAAACTCCCAATCCTCAGCGGAGCAAAAATTTGAACTGCAGACCCTCGGCGAAGATAGAACTTTCTTCCCCAACAGAGTCCAAAACTTCAAACCTGAAACCCTGGTGGAAGATCATCCGGTTTCTCCAATTCCCTAGCAATTTATCCTAAAAGCCTGGAAATCAACCAGATAACGGTTAACTTTTAGCCTTAACAGAATGAAGATTCTCATTCTTGAAACCCCAGTAGATTGGCATACACCCAACCTCCTGACCCAAACTCCTGAATGAAGATTCTCATTCTTGCTTTCCCAGTAGATTGACATACACCCAACCACCTGACCCAAACGCCTGAATGAAGATTCTCATTCTTGCTTTCCCAGTAGATTGGCATACACCGAACCTCCTGACCCAAATGCCTGAATGAAGATTCTCATTCTTGCTTCTCCAGTAGATTGGCATACACCCAACCTCCTGACCCAAACGCCTGAATGAAGATTCTCATTCTTTCTTCTCCAGTAGATTGGCATACACCCAACCTCCTGACCCAAACGTCTGAATGAAGATTCTCATTCTTGCTTCTCCAGTAGATTGGCATACAACCCGAACTCCTAAACTTTTTCAAACAGGAATAAGCTTTTCCCATAATAAGCTTGCTCTCCAGCAATATAGTTATCCCCCACAGAGTTTTTACTCCCCCAACCGAATGAAGATTCTCATTCTTGGTTCCCCAGTGAAGTTTCCGAAGTCTTCACTACTCCCCAGCCATGGTCATCAAGGTTCTCGGGATTCCCCAAGCAGGATTTTTGTCAATACTACAACTCCGAAGACTTGAAGGATCCCTATATCCCCAGGAAAGTCGTAAAGGATCCTCACATCCCCATAGAAGTTGTCAAAGTTTTTGGTAATCCCCGCAAGCTGCCAAGGATTTTCTATCCCCAACAGTGGTCCAAGGATTTCTCATTCTCAGCAGTCAAAGATTTTGAATCCCCAACAGCGGTCAAGGATTTATTTTCCCCGGAAGCAGTCAAAGATTTCATTATCTCCCGCTATCAATGATTTAGTTTCCTCAGCAAGACAGCTAATCAGCTTACATGCGCATCCATTACATTCATATATCATATACATTGATAGAACACATATTATTGCATCATACATGTCATGCAACATAACTTTGTGTTTCAGCTAACATTTTACCCTTTTCAGGATGAGATTAAAAGCTATCGTTAACAACTATTCAAAGATTTCAGATACAGTACGGATACACTCCAAGACATGTAAGTCATTCTGCTACTCATTCGGATCTCTTATTCAGATACAGTATAGATACACCCCAGACGCAGAGGTCATTCTACTACTC